ACAACCTCTTTCAAATTCAATGAATGGAAAGCTGAGCAAGCATGATTATTTCCAAGATTTTTGCTTTCTAGCAAGAGCTAAAAATGTTCTAAAAAACTGTCGACCCGGAAAATCGTCTCATCTGCCCTTTTTCGCTGGTTAAGCACAGCAAATTCTTTCCATTTTGGCATCAGGGTCAACCCTACCGTTGGTAATTTAAGGAGATTTTTACGACCCCCCCCTTCATGGGGGTTTTGGTACGACCCCCTCCCCGGCGTCTCCGTGTGCTCCCTTGGCACCGAGCTGCTAAGCTTTTAACTTTCGTATAGGGAGGGCGGAGCGAATGAACTAACTATTGAAACGCAACGCGATATTGATCTCGTTTTGGATGTGCTGAATCGCGCACATTGGCGCCCGTTTGCTGACCGTGAACAGGCGACGAGCGCGGGGATACTGAAATTTAGACGTACACTACAGCGGCCTCCAATGTAGTAAACGTTGAAAGAAGGGTTAGAATGAGCTCCGCCGCTTCCTCAACTTATACTGGGAGTCCGATTTGTCTGGAGAGCTCTGTAGGGCCTTGCCACAGTAATGTAACTATTTTTTTCTCGCTATGATGCTTTCAAATTAATGCTTCTACAGTGGGAGTAAACGTCTGGTCTGAAAACTTATTTTTGCAGTATGTGATAGCCACTGTTGGTTGTGGTATGGCAATTTACCAGATGAGGAAATTGGCATTTGTTGATAAGTGGAACAACAGCGTGTCTAGAGACCAGGTAAGGTTTTACATACGGATTTTCGGGCATGAAAATCTCCTATTTTTGTGAAATTTACTGGGGAAGACCTTGATCCGATGTCAACTTGAGGCTGCCTCAGGTTTCTTTCCTCCAGCGCTCTGCGTAAACGAGACGTTTTGAGTGTAACGTCGCGCGACAGCCCATAACTCCACTAGTTTTTTTTTCACAGTTATCTATAGCAGCATCCACCGGGAAGGTTTGATCTCCTGAGAAAAATGGAAGCCAGAAGCAAAATGGAAGGCACAAGTGTGTGACTCCCAAAGTTCTTTCGCTATGAAGCAAGTATGAAATGGTAGCTAATAGGAAGAGGTTGAGTGCAGGTCTGTCTCCCAGTGCAGAGAAAAAGTAGAAAGAGCTTCAGGAATTATGGAAAATCTGTCTTTGGCAACCGATTTTGGGATCAGTACTGTGAAAGCGATCATGATTTTTGGAGGTTAGTGTTTGTGGATAAGCTTCATTGGCTGGTAGGGACGTTTAGAGGACGGACATCTCTCAACTCCGTGCCCTTTCGCCGTCCAGCGTGCCGGGGGTCCATCTCCATCGATGACGCTTCCATGACGGTCATCAATGCCCGCACCGCCCTCCATGTTAATCATTACCGCCTGGCCCTTAACTTCCATCATGAATCGTGTCCCCTTCTATCTTCATTGGTAGTTTTTCCTGTTGCAAGCACAAGTGTCATATTATATCATCATATCATGTGTCAGGAGCTTTTGGATCGAATCCTCTTGTGGTTGGGCCTAGTCGGTGAGTTGATCTACTCAGTAGCAGGACTTGTTGGACTCACTGGAGACGGCCAATGGCAACCCCTTGCGTTTCTCCTCCCTCATTTTTATTTCTTTTGTAGCATATATCCAAGATGATACAGCTAAGGAGGGGCTGGAGATTTTTTTTTAACCGTTTTCACATTTGATTTGGCACCTTTATATTTTTAGGTCGGAACTCAGACATTCTTGATCTATCTGGCCTCAAGAGTGAAGGTTGGTACAGCATCCAGGCTAAACCAGCCTGGAAAACAAGCAATCACTTATCTCTTAGCGGCTAATCTGTCGATCTTTCTAATGAATCTCTTTGAAAGTGAAGCAATGCCGGCGGCATCTCTGAAAGCATTATAGGTAAGGGAATCATTCCAACATAGCTTCATTGTTTTTAGCCCACGCATTGATTACGTGTGTACTATTCCAGATTTCTACGGAAAACGGTCATGGGTGTTTTTGGTTCGCAGCTTCTCCCCTTTGACGATCTTCTACCGATTTCATAGCTCTGTTTGTCTTGCAGAGATTTGGAAAAATGTTTATGCGAATAAAATAAATCGTTAAAGGCACTGAACGCAAAAGAATGAAAACCTTATCATTCACAAAGGGAACACTAGATTCGATGTGTGCGTGTGAGAGCGGGCTAAATTGCTAGTTACCGGGTGCAGATCTTGGGCACCGAATGATTGCAAAATTAAAAGCTGAGTTAGCTAAGGAAGCTCCGTCGCTGGGTTTGGAATTAAGGAGGTATTTGCTGAAAATTGTGGTTTTGAAGTATTTCTCTGGAGAATGACATCTTCTCAGAGGTTCATTGATTTCTAATTGTTACCATTCCCTCACGATAAGCGCTGGTACGATACCTACGCCATTCGGAGATTGTTGAGTGGTTACTGTGAAGAAATGGGGGTTGGGCAGTGCCAATTGGTATCACTGTCAGAACCACACACTGAAGGAATCAAATCTCGCATTCATTCGCGAAAGATCATTCGAGCCTCCCAAGCATCCGAGGTCATGTTTGAAGAGGTTGTGTATCAGACCCGTCTGAAAAGTGTTCTTGAAAAGAAAAAAGCGACAGAAGTCCATCATGATCCTTCCATCACGAAGATATTCGAATAATTGAAGTATTATAGTTACACCAATTCAACGATGAAAAAATATACAAAAGTTTAGAGAACAGGGTTAGATCCACACATTTTGGATTGATTATCAGTTTGTGAGAATTTCATTGGAATCGGGTTTGCAGCGAAGTCGTTAAGACGTTTCTTGATGTCCAGTGAATGCCCAAATGTGGTCTCACGTTACTTATCTATATAAAAAAGAAGGACGTTTGGTGGCAAGTAGTGGCACCAATTTTCAAGCTCAATGTTCGTAGCTAAAACGTCAAATCAAGTCCCCCAGAACAACGAAATCTTCCAAAATTTCGGAATATAACTGCTACTAGTTTTACCCAGAGGAACAAGGACACTGATTTGTTCAATACAATGGCTGAAACGCCCAGTGTTCCGCAGGGCTTTGTATAGGTTGACCGATCCAAACGCTGCGAATACTCAAAATTACAGTAGAATGCGTGGATATTTTGAAAGAGGAATTGCCAAGGTTAATTTTTATTCCTCAAGGGGAAACACTTTCACGGTTTCTTGGCAAATCCGCTAACTAGTTGAGAAAAGCAAATCTGGTCTCAATCCAAATGATCGTGAAAAGCCATCTGCTGAACTGTGCATCCGGATCGGCACATGATTTTGATCTTTCGAGGGTGTCAGCGAACTGATCAGCGGCCTCAGTGCAGGTTGTTGCTATCGCAGTGTCATCGACATTTGCTCATCCACTCAAAAATGTGCCGCGTTCTCTTTCCTGTCTACAGATTGCGGTATATATACATGAGACGAACTTTGCGTGCATAATTCACGTGCATTTGCTAGCTTCCTTTCGTAATTTATTCATACTTTTGATCGTGGCCTTTTTTTGAGGAGGTACTATAATGACATGTAACTAGTCTACCATGCGTTGGCCTTAGCTCGGATCCTTTTTTTCAATCCCGTCCAGCCGATCAGAACCTTTCAGCACCTATTGGAGTCTGTCAACACTACCAGGTTTCACGGGTTTATGAAAACAATTAATTATTGCTGCAGTTTCACATACAATGATATGATCCTAAATGTTGCGATGCGCGTCTTGGAAAGGAACGATCAGTTAGAATCCTTACCAAATACATTATTTTTACCTTCGATTTTCTTTTGCCTTCGTAACTATTCTAAACCAACCGCTCTGCCTGAAAATGCCTTCCCACTGCAATAAATTGTGAAACTCACACCCCGGCAGGAATCTGAGTAACGTCCCACTAAGCGCTTCATCGGGCAGGCGGTAATGAGGATTCGCCAATATGGTGCCATGGCAAGCGATCGGGACGCTTCCTATTGGCTGGCCAAAGGCCATACCATCTGCACACCAACGCGATGATTCCTATAAGACTATTAATTCCTTCGAATTGATATCCTTCAAACATAACGAAATCTAAAACAAAATAAAGCACATTGAGCTCTTAGACCAATCTTTTGCAATTATTTTTTCATTGATTTTTTTAGTTTACCTTGCATTTCTGGCTATCATGTTAGTGGGCTTCATGTACTCTGAGAGCTGCATTACACCTCTAATGAAAGCGCCCCAAATTTCCTTTTTTTGCGAGTTATGTTAGTAATCTTTCCGATTATTTTCATCATTCCAAGGTAGTTGCGCTTCGAAATCCGAATACCGTTGCCGTGTGTGCTCCACCAAAGATAATCACGGATATGCCTGCGAAGATTGCACTAGGAGTTCCAAGCATGCGTGGAACGTTCGGAACCATAATCACACCGACCCCGCCCATCGACATGCAAGAAATGATGGAGAAAAAGTTTACAAAGAAATTGCGTAAGCCACTAAACAATTTTTATCACCAATGCTCAGCTGTAGAGTTACGCGAAGTTGAGCAACGAGCTGCACATGTGAGCCTACTCAGTATGTGATGAAAGGACGCATTGAGGCTTATAATATGTAGATTACCGAAAACTGGCCTACTTCTCCCATAAATAAGTTGTCAATTTCACAAGTCGATGACTCCGCCTGCTCTTTTTTTTTCGATCGAGACTGAGGAAGGGGATGACCAAGGAGTGATGGGTCAAGCGAATATTAAAATTTTCGATTGATGCAAGAGTGTTTCGTCTTCTGCCGAAGAAAAAAGATCACTCCCATCTGTATTAAAAGAACCCACTGAGAAAAAAAACTGAGTATAGACGGGAACTAGAACAAACTTTTTAAATGCGATAAAAATCTACCATTATTTGCTCAGTAGGATAGGAAACATGGATTACGCATATGTATGTGTAAATGGTCTAACAAAATGCTTGCAAGAATATCTGAAAAGTGAAAGTTCAGAGAAACTTAAAAAGTGCTTTGAGTGGTGATATTTGGTGCCGTCTTGTTCCGCATTGCATGTTTACCTGCTTCAAGTTGGCCTTTGCGATTAACCGGAAAAGAACGTTGTTGAGAGGGGCAAGCTATTCGCGCTGTTTAGTGAGACTAATGAGTACCAGCAGTTTACTACGTTGTCAACATACGCTCATTCTCAAGTACTTACTCAACTAACTTACCCAGCTTAACCACTTCACATATCACTTTCTTGTATTTGTTGCAATTTTGCAATACAACCTTGAACATTTGGTAAATTCGACATTAAAAATTTAACCAATGCTAATCTTGAACGATGAAATACTGCAATCATAGCTGTTCGAGATACAGGCGTTGTGAGTGCGCACCTGATGGCATTGAACCATGCCTTGATCCGCTGTTTTAAAAATTGCTCTGTTTTTTGACGGTTTTGTCGAGTTTACAGGAAACGGGGGGGGGAAAAGACATTTTGCCCTATGTCGGACTTCGGCTCTTTTTTCTTCGCAGAGATTGCTGTCGTTGACGGGAGTTCCTCAGCAGAGTATTCCCTAAGTGTCCCTCTATAAGTGAACACAGGCCCTCCTTCACTGCCCTCACCGTCTTCAGAATATGACGTCATCTGTCATCGTCGAGGCTACGTAATTGGCCTCGGCGCTGTGAATTTCTTACAGAATTCGTGAATCGGATCAGTTTGTTGGTGATTAAACTTCCCAGAGACAGCTGTCCACTATGGCAAAGCCCCGTCTGGCTAACATGGATTTTTCGTCAAAGATTGCGTTACGGTACACCGATCCGTTTCGAACACTGCCAATTCGAGCTGCACTAGTTTGCACCATGGTTCGGCGTGGCAAATTTTTCTAATGCGTTTTATGTTGGCGTGGATGCATGTAGCGTTTTTTCTTTATTGAAATGAAATGCGCTTTTCAATAGCAAGTTGGATCCATTCGGTTTGAATTGAGCAGAGTGTGACTAAATCTACCTGAACGTGGAGGCAAAACGTCTTTTTATCCGCCTCCCGTGGATTCATCAGAAAGAAATCAAATTCTGGAACAATTCAAACTCAATTCCGAGTTGTAGAGGAAAGTGGAAAATTTACATACCCGGTGTTCTTCGTCCTAAAGGAATTTTTGGGACAGTCGTGGAGCACATTTCAAAACCCTGGAATAGTCGCTTGCACAAAATGAATGGTATTGTGGATTTGCGATGATATGTATTTCTTTTGGAGCTTTCTTAGATCTTTTTCATTCATTACTTGACCTGCCAATTTGTTTTGCAACCCGGCCATCATTTATAGGTTTCATTGGCAGGCGACCTCTTAAAGGTTGCCGGATAGATGATCTACGGGTCTGCAGCGAAGGGTACGCGTTCCAGGCAGGGCGCGTCCACATCGAGTCGCGCATGCTTCCGATTAGTAACAGATGAGATGGGGACAGGACAAACAAGCTTGACAATATGAGAAATAACATAAAGACTTGCTACAGTACCTTTGCAAGGCCTTTAGCGCTCCTTAGTCGGCTGGATTTCCAGTGACCACGGAAGCTGTGGATTTTTCTCTAGGGGTCTATCTTACAGACGGAATCGTTCACAAATCTTCTGCCTGGATTGTGCCTTCAATCCTCACATCATTGGCGACCTCTCATTAATTTCTTATTAAGCTGTATTGGTGGTATCCATAAACTCCGCATAGAAAGGAGAAGAGTAATCTTCATGAACTTTCAAGAAATGGCCTACCATAGCCAATTGGTTTTGCTGCTTCGGGTGTTTCGGTAGGTTGGGCGTTGATGCTGAAACGTACTGCCTCTACTGTGTCAGTACTATACCGATAACAGATAAAATGCTTAAAGCTGAGAAACTGTTAAACTTTATTTGTCTCAAATAACATGCTCAAGGATGCGTGACCAAGCAGGATAATGTATCCCCCATCATAGAGAGAAAAACATGGGGAATTAGAACGCCTTGAGGGAACTCCCAGTTTTCTAGCAGGTTAGAATCGAGGCGAATGAGGCGTGTTGTTGAAGTATAACATTTTTTGCCAGTATTCGTCCTATGACCTAGCTAATTCCAAACAAAAAGGCAGCTTCATGCCTTAAAAAAAGAACAAGCTTAACCTCGGAGGAGCACTTCCAAGCATCCCTTCTGTAGAACAGTCACTGTTAAATACCTCTAGAGAAAATGGCGTCATATAATTTTAGAGCTTTCCGGTTCTGATAAATTAAAGGAGGAATTCAAGAGAAGAACGAAGGTCAAAGAAGGGGAACATTTCATAGTTAGGAGAAAGGCGGACGTACCGAAGGTGCACTGACGCGAGAGTTAGCATTCAGTCGCAAATCAAGGGAGCAAGGTGGTGGGTCCCTTTCTCGGGGGAGGGGTTTCTGGCGTATTCAACGGCGTTTATATCTTTCACGCGTGATTCTACTGACCACCTCTGCAATTATTTCCGATGAGCTTTTCGATTACTTTTTCATTGTGAATCCTGCCTTTTATACAGCTTGGAATATGCGCAAAGGAATCAAATTTAGGTGATGCCGCTCGGCATCGGGCAACATTATCGCCAATGGTTATATGTGATAGCCTTTTTCTATTGAAATCCTCTGCACTGTGATTTTGAGAAGGACTCAGCTAAACCATGTGCCTTCGTGATTGCTATTATGTGAATACATACCAAGGGTTGTCAATGATACGCGTGGTGTCGTTAAACGTGTTAACGATACGACTTAATTCTACCCTGGTATGTAGAAGAGAAGCGATTGCTGCTACTCAAAGCCAAGAATCACAGAAGGAGCAGTGTTTTGATTATGATTTATTCTTTTGCCAGCGAAACAGTGACTTCACAAACAAAACCCTAAACAGAGAGTTACAACAGCCGGGATGATGAGGTATACATACCAGTGTTGACCATTTCGCAGAGCTTAACTATTATATTAGGCGGATGTTTTTATTGTCTTATAGCTTCTTTTATTGTTTAAAAACTGGTTTTGTTTCTAGATGTTGCTGTCACTGTTTCTCGGCCTGAACTGAGTTATTTGACCTGCGCTTTTGGAAGGTATACTGAGGAGTATTAATTGCAAAAGACTGACTGCTGTTAGTGATTTCTGATCGCTGGCACCGATTTGCTCAAGCTCGTGGGCCAATAATCCTGTATGCACATCAAATTTAAGGAGCATCAGCAAGAACTTTTTACCCTTAAAGGAAGTGTATTCCCGCAGTTCCTGAATAAAAAAGTTACTGAAGAGGGACCTTAAGTGAAGGAGTGAAGATGCTAACTTCTTTTTTCTAGGTACATCTGAACCTTGATAGGATCTGTTCATTGATTGGGGTCACGCCTCAATACTTGTTCAGGTGGATTGCTAACTTCGGTGTTTAGGACAGAGCTTCACTCAAGTGGCAGATGTTCAGTATTCTTGGCTGAGAAGTGCGCGATGAGAACGTTAGGGTCAAGTTGACTGCTTCCACTATTCTTCATGCGCACCACACTTGTGTTTGTGCCCTCTCCACCGTTGCGTTCTCTCGCCTATTTTACTCAAAATGTGCGAACTCTTAATTTTAGCATTCTCGACAAGCGCTTTTCTTTTTTGTTACCGCTTGATTTCTCACCCATGATTCTATTTTTGCATACTGGTGCCAAACCAGTTTGAAGGCGAGATTCTTGGTACCATTATATACCAGTTCGAGGTCTTAAAGAAAATCAGATTTGGGTGATGTTAAGCAAGCTCTAGATGAATTTGTCCGCTACATGTAGGAATTATAGAAAACTGCTAGAAATGAGCGTAATCAGAACGATATGCTTACCTAAACACCATTCAATAGCCATCGACGTCTAAAGCATACCACAAAGACTAGAGTATGTGCTATGGCCACTGAATGTGAACTATGAATATTTTTCCAAATATTGGTGGAATTGCGATATTCACGCAATGTAGTCGTTTCAGGATGATTACACCACACCACTAGATTATTTCTTCCAGTTCTCGTGCTTCTCGTTTTTCATCGTGGAGCACTTTTTTTGATTTTCGAAGTGTTTTCTTTATTTCAGTACTTGAAGGAAGCCAAATGATGACCACAATGAACAATCTTCCCCATTTGGAAGCAGGGCAGAGTTACACACAACAAGAGACCATGAACTCTGACAGGAAGGGACTCGGTACGCGGTTCTTCAATAACTTTTACTCATCCAGGTGTGCGCATACGATGTGCCTAACAGTGAGGGCTAGTAGATTTTCCGCTACTTTGTGCTGTGCACTGCTTTGACATCTTTGTTGGAACTGCAAAACGCTCAAGCTGGTGAGAAAACTATAGGTCCAAAATACAGTCAAGTAATCCGCTAAACGAAATTTGAGACGTCTCGAAAGTAACGGACTCTAAATCTTGACGTTCAGTTGGGATGTGCTAACACATTTATCATGCAGCGGAGATCAGCCACCTTCCAAAAGCCGTCCACTCTTCTTGCAAAGCAATCATCCTGCAGACAGAAAGTACGATTCAAGGAAGAGTCCCCCAAAAGGACC